AGTTAAATAAATCACAGTCTCTAATGAGCCAAAAAACCAAACTCTCTTATCAGCCAAAGGAGAAAATACTTCTTTAACGTGAGAAGTTACTCCACTACGTGCTAAAAATATAGTAAATATAATCACAGTTATTGATATCTGCAATTTTCCAATACTTTAATATTTTGCGTATATTAACAATAGCTCATGTGTAAATATATCGACGTTTTTATCCATCCACAGCAGGGCTACCGACAATCCTGAATGCTTATCCGTTGATAATTTTTCAAAATTACCCTATTCAGTATATTGTCATACGGCAAAAAGTCTATAACCCGGCAGTTGACTTCTGACTTCAAACTACCATCACCCCACTGTATGCCATATTCCAACACTTTCACAGTACTCACCTTTACTTTTTCTCTACCTTTGTGTCTGTCTATCTCTTTTGCATCTGTAAATCGCTCTTCTGTTCTCCACACCTCGACTTTCTACTACTTTGATGAACCTTCCCTCTGTGAAGCCCGAAGTTAGCTAAATGGCTAATGATAGTTATCAAAACGCCTGCCATTTGAAATAAATAAATAAATATTGTCAAGGGTTTGCTGAATATGCACTCACTCAAACTCTTCTCCTTAATTAACCTCATTTTAGAACAATGGTTAAATGACTTACTATTAGCATCATGTCACTCTTTGTATGCCACTGCAAACGTCACTTTCACCTTGAGTGAGAGAGAGCTTGCATCTGTGTATTCTCAGACATAATGCACATGAGCTCATAATCTATTGAAAAAAAAACTTTTTTGGCTAAAATGACGTTTAAATGACAGCTTCTGTAAGAACCTGGCCCTAAAATAATGAAGAAAGTTTAAAAAATACAAGAAATGAAGCAAGATCTTCAGGCTCAACTCTTGCCAAAACGACAGCAATTTAAATGTGTGTGATTTTCTGAGCGAGTAAGAAATCGAGAAAACAAATCGACATTGGGAAGGGTTGTGTGAATTGTAGATGTACAATAAAGGAAGCCAGATTTGCATTAAGTAAAATGATAAAAAAGTAATTAGCGGGGTTTTTTGCTCACCTTCTGGATAAATTAGTCGAGTTATACCAAGACGTTCTTCAGCTATCTTAAAGGCAAAATCTAGAACTTCTTTGGGAGGTAGATTGGCTACTTTGGCATAATCGAAGAGATGTGGTCTAGAAGGTAAGAAGAGGACCTTTAATTTATGAATATTCGATCTGATTTCTGAGTCAGTCACCATGGTGCTATTATTCAGAATTTTGCATTTTTTGGCAAATACACTCATTGTAGAGATTAATTCACATTTCAGAGTCAAAACAAAAGATTATTTAGTTCAAGGAAAGAAATCCAGTAAGTTTTCTACTTTAAAGTCAAAATCATTTAAAAATCCGCGATTTAAAATTAGCCTTAAAATTAGAATTTGAGGAAAAATAGGAAATGGCTTTAATTTGACTTAGTAATCAGTTATAAATCTGTGTAAATTAAAGTGCTACCGCCAACCAAACTCTTGAATTTCAACACATTCAGAGGCGGCTTGCTTCCGAACTTTGTCGAACTCCTCAATGCCCCTAGCCCTGGAGTCAAGCCCATGATAATGCGTGAAAGTAGCAATGAAAGTACTTGAAGATATCCACTACTGCCTACACTGGAAGCCTAATGAGTGTCTTCTTTAAATCAGTACTTAGATCATTACGGCGGATTTTCGTTCCGTAGAAACATCTTGAATAAGAAAGTAAACAAATCACACTTCTTAAGCATCAAATCTCGGTCTACCTTTTCTGTTATTGCTTGAAATTTACCACCTCGTTAGAAATGTTTTAAAATAAATGGCATTTCTGACAAAGCTCACTTCTTATCAATGACAGTAACCAGTTCTGCGAACTTATTGGTCCAGAATACCACACCATCTTTAGTAAAAGATGGCACTTAGATACTGACATAACTTGTTAATCAAACTGATGATTTCGTTGTTTTCAATAATTTCGACTGTAATTTCTGCTATTACAACTATTTCAATGGATTTAATTTCAAACACTGCATTATTATACGTTGTATAAATTTTCTTCATCATAAGCTCTGGTCGAGATACTGCTTGAGCCAATGGAAAATTGTCTTCCAAAACTATTTAAACTCAGCTTCGGTCTCACATCTTCGGAAGATTTGGCTTCGTAGTCGCTTTTACTTAATTTTTTCGTGCTGAGCATTGTATTTCTGTTTGGAACCAATAGTCCTCTGTTTATTTGCAGCTATAAATCGTGGCACTAAAGGAGGGGGGGTTGGTCTACCGTCGAAGGCTCTTCATTAAGACAAAGAAAACGATGACGATTATAGACTCATGTATAGTTTGTCCACTTAACATAATGTGCCCTTCACTCGAAGGGCCAGGCTCTCATAACCAAATCACTGACCGTCGTTCTCCATCTCAAAGAAATTCGAAATAAAACTGTGAAATGTGAAGGTGCTAATTTTATGAGAATATTCACAGGAAAATCGGATGTTTTTTGTCCCACTGACGATCTCAAAGCTTCCCCATACGAACAGACTAACAGTACCTTCGAGTACCATATTTTCTCACTTCAAAACCGTATCATAGGAAGGAATGTTTGCTCTCTTCAAAGTTAGTATCAGACCCTATCTGAGACTCTTCATAAAAGTCTTTTAAAAGCCAAAAATAAAACTTTTTTGAAGTGAGAAGTGAGGATATTAATAAGATCGAAGATCTCAAATCATATATTTAAAGCTAAGAGTGAAATTGAAACTATTTTCACATAGCACTGTCCATAATATTTCTCCTCACTTAATGTCAAAACAGCTTTTTTAAATCTAATTCACGATAATCTCTCCACGAACGAGAAGTAAATAGTAGCTAAGAAAAGTCGAAAAAAATCTATGTCCATTTGCAGAAATATACGGCAGTTAAATGCGGTTCTACCAGAGATGATCTTATTGGTGGGTCGCGAAATGACAACATCCTTGATCTGTCCTCAATGTTTTCATTCTGTTCGGGTAAGCATATACAGTTGTCATTTAAAACTATCGTAAAAATGATTTGAGGACGACATAATCTCCAAATGGAGGTCACCACCAATATTACTCTATAACCTAACAAGTTGATGAAGTTTCACTCTCCAGGCTCCCAAACGTTCAATTTAGCCAAAAGGCAGTGCTTATAAAAAAGCGGATGCAAACAATGGAAGGGGTAAAATCTTACTTGTATCTGTGAATGATAGCCAGAAAGGCTCTACCATCACTCCACGAAGAGGAGAAGTCAGTTATATCGATTCCTCTATATCCAACAGTCACAGATCGACACCAAGCAAGGAGATTTCGTCCAGCGGTTTCATCTAAAAAGGCAAGACTCTGCGAAGAACTGCTTCCATTGTTGAAGAGGAGGCGATTTTCTGGAATCACAAGGTCTGAAGGAAGGGCGTTCTCTGTTCCAACTAAATGACCATTTGGAAGATAGAGAAGATCGGATAACTAAAATAAGATGGATATTTATCACCGGCTTGAATTAGGAAAATTATTTAGAATTTGTAAAAAAAACCTTGAATGATATTTGTGGCGCAATCTTCTTAGATATGCGTATTTTGGAACTATATTTTCCAATAAAAACAGCCCTAAAATCGTAGGTAATATTTTCATTCCATAACCACGCAAACGTTGGGAGCCTGGAGTTGCAAAATGCAATAACATTGCTTAATATGCCTTTCATATTTCACCGGTTAATATGGAGAGTGCTAGCATTGAATTATGTGCATCAACGTAAGGTTATCTGTTAACCATCAGGCAACTGGCAGCTATATATCTCATTCAATGCAGCAGTGACACCTATCATTTATCAGGTGAGGTCATGAGTTTTTTTTCTATTTTTCAATTAATAGACTGATATTATCAATACCATCACTTTGGAAAATCCTAAATTTCAACTGATATAATGTGAAAATTTTCTCTCTAGTAAATGGAATCCAGTAATTTTCCCACTACGAATTTTCGTGAATCTAAGCCAATTTAAATAGAATTTTTACACTTTTACAAGCCATGCTCACTTGGATAAAAGAATTTTCACCTGATTGCTAGGGATACCAACTCATCGTTTTCGCATTATCGGGTTGATATAAACATGATATTTACGAATTGGATTTAAATGTAATACCATTTATACAAGTTTCGAATCTCATATCTATTGACCATCTCACTCGCATTTCAGTTAATAGAAGAATTCCCAACCCTCCACAAAATATTACAATTCTTCTCCATGTAGTTTGCATTGGAGTACGCAGAAGACTGGGAGAGCGAGAGATACAAAACTTTAATAACTTACAATTTTGCAGCTTCTTTGATCCTACAGCATTTATTTGACTCGGAGTAAACAATGACAATGGTATTTTATCAACGGACTACGTACAAATGTTGCTAATTTTATATTAAAACAATGAGCAGCGTATACTCATACGGCAAAACAGTCTATTCACTGGCAATTGACTTCTGACTTCAAACTACCACGACCCCACTGCAAGTCATTTTCCACCACTTTCTCAGTACCCATCTTACCTTTTCTCGACCTTTGTGTCTCTATTACATCCGTGAATCACTCTTCTGTTCCCCTTTAGACTATGTGACTTTGATATTCCTACCCTCTGCGAAGACCGAAGTCAACTGAGTGGCTAATGATAACTATCGTAAAGCCTGCATTTGATATCAATAAAGGTATTAGAACAAGATTAAGTTGGACACCGAACTCTATCGATTCAGCAGATTACATCTCTCACTTTCACTCTAACTGTGTCACTCATTAATGGGGAACCTATTTTAGGGAATACAATAAATTAACACCAAAATACAATATTCGCATTTCGAGTAGCACAAAGTTGTGCTCCTTTAAATGCTATCAAATTCTGGGGGGTAATTAGTTAAAATACTAAGCAACGTGTCCACCCTGCTTTCCACCTTTAGGGCAATTCCTATAGCTTTTCAATAGTGGAATTCTAAAACGATTTACTTATTTAAAGCCAAAGCAAGAAGAAACATGAAGTGCATGAATGAACAAGCATTCAATATAAGAGGCAAAAAATCTCAAAAATACTTGTTAAGCCTAATATTTTTGCTATAATTTCTGAAAAGTTCGCATAGAAGAGTATTGAACGCGGCTTCTTCTCAAACTGAGAGAGAAACGTGTGAGAATATACAAGATAGCATTTAATGGTCTTAATGTGCACTGTCTATCCATTACTTGTAAATAGTATCGAAAAAATATGGACTCTAATGATAGCAACAATTTTAGTCCTTCAATATAACCATTGAGAGATTTACAGTTTAAAAATTGAAACAAACAATAGTTAGCAGACTACATGTTAAATGAGCTCTGTTGAGTTTAAATTGTTTCGTTTGTCTCACTCATTTTTCCTATCGGTGAAATTAAACTGCATGACCGACCATTCATTTTACAAGATCTGAGCATCAAACATGTCTTTATCAATAAACTGAGTGATCCATTAATGAAAATCGAATTTTGGGATATTTTTACAATGTAATAAGAAACATTATTTTAGAGCAAATTGGACATCTTAATGCATCCCAAAGAAAGGGAAAGAATGGCTAGACATTCTGGCCTTATGAAATACTTCTACTACTACATGGCTATCTTCGTATTCGGGTTATCCAGATGTCCTACAATGTTAAAGTTTGGAGAAATAGGTAATCTTATCCTTGATCAACCAGAAAAATACAGCCATTTCTCATTCACACCTATTATCCAAATTACTTCAGTTTGAGGAAGGCACAAGTAAACGGTTGTACGAACGTCGTTCAATGAAAATTTAGCCCAAATATCACATTCACTTTAGACTAAAAATATCCGAAATAAGTTTATCAACACATAGCAAAAAAATGCGAAATGGTCAAGAGGGCAGTTTGCCAGTAGTTGGATAAATTAAACATATTTTGCGGAAAACGAAAACATTTGAATCCAGCTTACATGGAAATGTAGAATTATAATCCATATCAGACCAAGAGTGAGTTTAGGATTTCCATCGACAATTTCGTCCGCTCGAATATTCACAATCCGTACCTGTTGAAAAGAAAAATTTGAAGTCATTACAGGGACCGAATTTGTAAGAGGAATTTGCCAGTGGCCAATGTATGTAAGTCATGTGACTGTGTTAACTAACTAATATGATCTTTTAAAATGACTAAATTAAAACCTTTCAAGCAAGATTCAAGGCTCTTCACTCCCCTTTTTTACAAACACTTAATTTTTAACTTATATCGGACAATTCAGCAGCAGTTTTCATCAACAGGCGGCTGCATATCGATTCATCATTTAAGTTGATTTCCTTTGTGATTTGGTCTTCTCTAATATCTGCCCAGATATTTTACATATCTTTTTCAAAACAGGAATTTCCTATCTGCTCTCATTCCACTCAAATTCGCTTTCTTTCCTTTCTCGACCACAGTGAGACTGATTAATAAAACCTAAAGCTATACCCTCGTCTTCAATATTAAAAATTGGGGTGTGCGATAGACTTACCTCCACGTGGTGCACCCTGGGTAAAGTATACTCATACGGCAAAAAAGTCTATTTACCAGCAGTTGACTTCTGACTTCAAACTACCATGACCCCATTGTATGTCATATTCGACTATTTTCACAGTACTCACCTCACCTTTGTTCTACCTTTGTGTCTGTAGAAACACTCTTCTGTTCCCTCCCCCCTCTCGAATTTTTTTCAATTCGATGTTTCTTCCCCTCTGTGAAGCCTGAAGTCAACTAAAGGGCTAATGGTAACCATCAAAACGCCTGTCATTTGATATAAATAAATAAATATTAAAAAGTGATAATGAGAAAAATACTGCCTTTGTTTGAAGTGAACCAATGAGGCAACAGCGGTGCACCAAACTCAAATAGAAGCCTTTGTGCAGAACGTTGTAATCGAATAGAAATAAACTCAGTTTCACCCTTAGTTCTTTACGACTTTTCGCCTTAGCTTTATT